AGTAAAAATGTATCAGAAAAGTTAAACTCCATGATGAGTTTGTTATGTATACATGAATTGATGACAATTAACCGAACTTGTTTTTTAAAATAAAGGGGATATTTGTCAAAAATAAGCAAAACGTTAACTTTATCCTAGTTGCATAAAATTTGGCATATGGATATAAAATTGCCATAGACACAACTTTTTCAAGTAACTTTTTGTTAAATTTGATCTAGAAATGCACTTTTTCAATTTTTTTCAAAAAAAAAAAGTTGAATTTGACAAACACTGAAAGTCAGTGGGTCGCAGTTGGCCGCATCATTTTGAGTTAAATTTAAAGCACAAACAAGTGCCGAAGTTCATTGAAACTATTCGAAAAAAAAGTTTCCCATATGGTGCGCACTTTAATGATGGTGGCACTGTATATATATATCGGATCGACCAAACTCAATTAATGTATGCTTTTCATAGTAGTAAATGCACAGGTGCCTGATGGTTCTACTTCAACTCTCTGTGCAGCATTAGCTGGGTTAGTTGTTGTTTTTCCGTTGGGTATCTGCCACACGTACCTACAAAGTAGTAGGTCTGCATGAGAGGAAAGGGGCAACCTTTAGCATGTCATAATGCACCTCTCTGGAATATTAATCATTATATATATATTGATGATATGTGTAATAATATGCTGTGTTTTATAGAGGACCAGTTCTAGAGCATATAGAAGATTTTGAAGAATCAGATCTCGAGATTAAATCAAAACGCCATCAATATTGGAATGTTTCCCAGCAAACATTTGAGAAATATAGAAAAAGGATTACCTACCTCCGTACAAAACTGAAGAAACAGAATGAGAAAATTAGAGCCATGAATAGAATACTTGATGACTTGAAGAAGAAACAATGAATATATCATTTGAAAGAAACATGACCAAAGGTATCATGATATTTAGAAATTACTCTATAATTCGATCCCGTAATAAGTCACAAACATGTTTTTTTCAATGTACTTTATAAGAAAAATGAAGTAGTATGTTAAGAGAAGAGGTAGTTTTGAAAATAGGTAGTCATCAGTTGAGGCACTTTTTGAGGCTCATTTTCCATACTATCAATCTGACTATTAATGAAGGAAATTTGAATTTTTCAAATCATAATGACAAGAATGTTTGAACGAGTTTCATATTCTATGAGAGTATTCTTGAGTTTCTTTTTTTTACAGTGGCAGGAAGTTGAAATAAAAGATGGGATTCAGTTGTTACACTCTAGAATGACACAGGTCTCCATGCATCCAATAATATGTGGAATAGGCATTTGAATGGCCTAAGAAAGAAGATGGAAGCTGTAAGAAATTTTGTTGCAAGTGTGGCATATTCCAATAAATATTTTCAGTCCGATTTACCTTTTGTGACATATCGAAAGAAGAATAACATTTTTGCCTTTCTCAGAAGTAGACATTTCATTGATGGCAGAGTATAAAAAATATTTCTCTTGAGAATGAAAAAACTTTTCAGAAAGGTGGTTAGTTTAAGAATTATTCAATCACCCACGAATATCAAACTGAATTTGCTTACCAAATCCCATAAATAAATCAGATTTCATTGGATTGTCTGTTCAATAAGAGTCCAAAATGTGTTCTATAAGTTCATCAAGCTTCGTCAAATGTCTCTTCACTTGATCCAACTTGATTCAGGATAACATTGATATTCGTTTTCATTTCAGTATTAATCTCATAGCAATGCATGTACATGTATTGCAGATTTTGCTTTATCTAAACGTGTTTGAACTAGTGTTTCTTCAGTGTTCTGAATGTCATGTAATTTTATGCAAAGTTGTTGTAGAAATAAAACATTGGAATAGGTGATGTTGACAGAATGCTATCTTTTTCGTACATTACAAACTGGCTTTATTCAATGGTTTAATGGTGTATTGCTAGTTTTGTGACGACAATGGAAATAATAATGTAACATAGCGGTGAATTGGCGCAGTGGTAATGCGCCTGACTCACGACTGGAAGGTCGTGAGTTCAATCCCAACCTCGATCAGATATTTTTCTCGAGAGAATTTATCTATTTGAAGTTGGGATGATTCTGCAACGTTACATGGCTGACGGACTGCGAATAGACATGATACTCCCTAGGTGGCTCGGGGAGTTATTAACATTGCCTACCCAGGACACGATGCTAATACCAATGTAGTCGATGCCGATGTCACCAAGAAAAAAAAATGTAACACGCCGAATTTTAATATCTTTTAGTACATCTAATGCCCGTGTTGAGAGATGAAACAAAGTGAATTTTTCAAGCAATTCTCAGATGACAGCAAATTGTGAACTTACTCATGCCTCTTCCAAATATAATAAGTTATTTAATCACGATTTGACGGAGCCAAAGAAGGTCCACAAATTATTTTGAAGACAATCACTATATTTTGAGTTGAAAGTCGGAATTTAATAAAATATATAATAATAATAAGAATAGGAAATTGGTAAATTTTATTTTCAAGAACTTGTTTGGCGTTTCTATTCCTTNAGTCTCAATATCATTCATTGACAAATTAAACAGTAAAGGTAAGCAATATACATCCCGTGTGACTCCTTATGAAACCAATATCATTATTTCTCTCAAGGTACACCTCCTTCCCCACCTCATCAGTTTCAGTTTGTGGTAATGGTCCGTCATGAGACCTTGATTGAACCCAACACAGATTATGTGCTGCAACATATGCAGTAGAGAAATAGCAAAATGTTCTGATGTGAAAATCTCACAATAAAGTGTTTTTTGTATACGTTATAAATAAATATAATGAATGATAACAACTACACAAAATATTAATACTGAAAATCAAATAAATTCTAGTGAAATCGTAGTCCTTGGATGAATAACACTTGTGTGGAATCATGGTATAGTCTAGCTTTAAGACGGCAGAAATCTTAGGCTGACTAATGCAGAAAGTCGCTATATTTGGCTCACTTCTTCTTTTCAGAATCCGCAATTTCTGAGACCAAATATCATTTACAAGAATGGCACCACCGCTATGAGACCTAATGTGGATCTGATCTGTGAACTATTCAAATTATCGGCTACTAGTGAGCCAATTTATTGTAAAATTCGAAATGAGATTGAGCATTTCCGACAGGAGTGTTATTACTTGACGCCCGACGTAATGTGGATGGCACTAATAACTGATGGAAGGATGATTTTTATTTTCAATCTGATACTGATACTAGCTTTCGAGTTCAAAGACAGCGAATAGTAGTGGGAGGCATTTTGAATATGAAAAATATTTGCCGAGCAATCACGTAAAATTTCGATCACCAAGTGATCATCTTCAAGAGGAGTTTTATCTTCCTCTTGAAGATGATCACTTGGTGATCGAAACACGTGTCGAGGTGTAAAAATAACGATTTGGATTTGGATAAAACTGCTTTATCTTCCTCTTGAAGATGATCACTTGGTGATCGAAACACGTGTCGAGGTGTAAAAATAACGATTTGGTGTTGGGAAAAAACTCCAGTAATATTCATTACTACACCGAAGGTTCCAAACAGTACATCACAAATAAGAAGGAATATTGTTAGAAATGAATTACTCATATTTTGAGGACTCCTTAGAAATAGCATCCAGAGTACCTGGTGTACTGGGTGATACTAACACTTCTCGTTGAAAAAAGTGTCTGTATCTGTTAGTTGACAAATTTTCAACATATTTTACGAGATCTTGGTTGTCGGAGAAATTGAGTATTTTCTAAAGTTGGAAAGTCTCAATATCATTCATTGACAAATTAAACAGTAAAGGTAAGCAATATACATCCCGTGTGACTCCTTATGAAAGCAATATCATTATTTCTCTCAAGGTACACCTCCTTCCCCATCTCATCAGTTTCAGTTTGTGGTAACGGTCCGTCATGAGACCTTGATTGAACCCAACACAGATTATGTGCTGCAACATATGCAGTAGAGAAATAGCAAAATGTTCTGATGTGAAAATTTCACAATAAAGTGTTTTTTGTATACGTTATAAATAAATATAATGAATGATAACAACTACACAAAATATTAATACTGAAAATCAAATAAATTCTAGTGAAATCGTAGTCCTTGGATGAATAACACTTGTGTGGAATCATGATATTGTCTAGATTTAAGACGGCAGAAATCTTAGCCTGACTAATGCAGAAAGTCGCTGTATTTGGCCCACTTCGTCTTTTCAGAATCCGCAATTTCTGAGACCAAATACCATTTACAAGAATGGCACCACCGCGCCCTTCGTATGTGATGGAGCTTCAAGGGGAAGGCTTGACTGGAACTTGTCTGAGAGAAAACAGTAATAATCACAGTTAATAGCAAAGTAAATAATAATTTAGTAAACACTGGTATGATTTTTACTAGAAGCATCACAGGTATATATGCATGTGTAAGTGTAAGGAATGTGTAAGTACAAAAAAACTATAGTGTAAAAAGAAAAACATACATATTTTTTCTCAGCTAGCATCTAAAAATGTCATAACATTTGTTATAAAATATTCCCTTTGGGAATTACGCGGTCATACTTGTACATACTATACAAATTGAGTGCCATTGTCAAAGAATATATCGTTACCAGATTTATTTTTATTTATGTATTCAGATAGAACCCAAGTTTAAATGCAATAGTCTAAAACTATATGTTGGGATTTTCAATTTCAAGTAAAGAATTTCAAAAAAAAGTGCTTCTATGACCTAAAACAGTTATAAAAAATTCTTCAAATAACATACGTATTATTAAAAATAACTTATAGGTGGAAGAGTGATATTTGTTCTGCAGACTGGGCAACGACTCAAATCCAGACGGCTTGGATTATAACTCCTCTCCGAGCAGTACCCACAGAGCCTGTGTCCACACATCAGAACAAACCACATCTTTCTGCTGAAGCAAGTTGGACAGGCATTGTTTGTTTGTTGTTTCGGTTGTATTGGTTTGGTTTTGATTATAATTGGGTAGATTTAAAATATTGTATCAATGTGATAAAATTACTAACCTTATGCACATATCGTGGTTCTTAATTTTGGAACCTTGACACCAACGAAGTCACACTTTTTACAGAATTCAAAGTTATATTGATAGTTTTGTAACTTGGTATTTCATTAATTTTGTTCACACAAAATAATTTGGCACTACCATTACTTTCATGTCATTCTACAGCCATATTAACAATTTGAAAACTTCAGACACAAAATAGAGGCAAATAAATCGATCTAGAATATAGTCATCATAATAACGTTCAAACAGTTTTAAAGTTTAAAGAAAACACAGATCGAATCAACCAATAGCAATGGCCGATGGCGAATGGTTTTATGGTGTAAATGGGTCTTCAAAGCAGCCAACCGTCTCAAAATTTCACTCAACATTATAATGCAGAATTATGAAAAATTAGAAACAATGAAGTAATAAATTCAAGTAATTCATCATATTTAAACTTCTTCACTGTCATAGGACTCTTCTTAGATCTTCAATGAGTTCAAAACTTCAACTTCCGCCATTATTCCCACGTAGTATAAGCGAGCGCATGGACTATAGGATTATGACTAAGTACGTTATGATGTTTTACTTTATGATGAAGTACGTTATGACGCATTACGGTTTCTATCGGTTACGATTATGATCGTTTGATGTTATGATGCATTGCTGTTATGATGCATTGTGTTTATGATCGAATGATATTATGATGCGTTAGCGTTATGACGGAGTACGTTATGATGAAGTATATTATGATGAATTACGTAATGAAACTGTACATTATGCCGCTGTACGTTTCTATCTTGTACTATATGATCAATTGCGATTACTATCGTTTGACGTTATGATGGAGTAAATTTCTGTGTATTACGATTTCTATCTTGTACATTATGATGCATTAGGTGTCCCCAAATCAAATCATTTCTAAGCACTTGAAAAGGATATAGCATGATTATTAGTTTTGTACTTTTTCTACTGGATTATAAAAAAGTGATCCGCTTTATTAGCCGACTTGAATGCTTTCTTTGTAGCCATGTGCTAGTACGACTAGCTTTTGTTGATAACTTGTTCTAAGACTTACTCAAAAATGTAAGATTTCCAAAGTCCTAAAGTGAAAAATAAGTTTCAGCATTATGCCGTCAGTTGTAGGTGGTGTATATGAAAATCTTTGAAAAATTGAAAACAATAATCCAAGTAGGGGTAATTTGCCCAAAGTTCTTGTATGGTTTTATATATTTAGAAGTTAATTATGACTGGGATGTTTCCTAACTGAACGCCATAGAAAAAAATGGGACACGAAACTAGAAAGTTTGCATTTTTGAAAAATCAAAGATGATAAATTCCTGAGGGTTTTCATGAAATTCGTTTTTTATATTAACAACGTTACTTATTTGGTCATGCCATATACATTAATTAGTTTATGGGGCTGTAAATATAAGATTAACCATAAAAGCTAAATGATTGAACTGCAATTCTAGGGTATGGGGTTGAGCTCATATTTACTGTCCCATGAACTTGGTAATTCATATGACATGACAAAATAAACAACCTTTTTTGACATAAAAAACTGATTTCACGGAAACAGTACTTCACTTTATTAGTCTTGCACTTTCCTGAAAATAAAAAAGTTTTCCAATTTTCCTGTCCCATTTTTTGTATGTTGTTGGTTGGGAAATATAGCAGTCATAAAAGCGGTACAAGAACTATGGGAAATCAGTCCCTTACTTGGGTTATTGTTTCAACATTTCCAAGATGTTCACATGCAAGACCTTCAATAGATAGCACGAGAAAGAAACTAATTTTCTACTTCATGACTATTATAATAATACATTTTTGTGAGGTATCATATATGAATATTACTGGAGTTTTTTCCCAACACCAAACCGTTATTTTAACACCTCGACACATGTTTCGATCACCAAGTGATCATCTTCAAGAGGAAGATCAAACAGTTTGAAACAGGCTAAACCATGAGATAATGTACTTAGCTGAATTCTATGGTTACAGAACATGGTCTGGTTTATTTAAAGGAGTCAAATGTCGTCAAGCATTCAAATGAAACAAAATATTCGGTCAGATTTGATATAGTATCGACCTGAATATTCATATTACGTTGAATAATTTCAGTCAAGTTAGGGCTAAATAAGCTACCTATGAAATGAATTTTGACAAAGTTCGTGTAAGGATATTTATAAATAACATTTTTTCAATTCTGTGTATTTCAGAAGAGAAGCAACTCCGAACATATGTTTATTAGAATTTTTTTCCTTAAATCGACCCGAAGAATCACCTGAATCAGCCTGTATATTTTATAAATTGATGGATGTAGCCCTTACTACGCGGTAGGAAATCATAATGAAGAAATGAGAATTGAAACTTTCTATGTTTTTTACCACTTTTATTTGTAAGTAACGTTACTGCAGCTTCGTCTTATAAGGACATTTTCAAACATTAAACATTAGTTCAATGTATATATTCTGTATATATAAAATTTACTTCATCTGCAGATTGACACACCAAACTTTTACTTAATATTTCACTTCAATAATGAGGATTAAACATTGATAAATTGGGTAATTCATATACCGCTGTTGAAGATGAAGTGGCACATGGGCTGATAACCAATATTCTCTGGAAATATTGATTTGAGATGAACAATTAAAAAAATTGAAATGGCAAACGTTTGGAGATAAAAGAGAAAAATTAAAAAATACTTTATATTTTGGATTTACTTGCTCTTCACATATAATTGCAGAATGAGAACATCACAAAGAACAGGTTTGTGCTACAAATAATATTGAGCACACTGTTGGATAACACATGCGTATTTTTTCACTTTAAGAAATGCATAAAGAAAAATTAAAAAGTTTAATGTTAGTTTAATGTTTGAAAATGTCCTTATAGGATCAAACTGCAGTAATGTTAGTTACAAATAAAAGTGGCAAAAACATAGAAAGTTTCAATTCTCTTTTCTTCACATATTCTATTTATTTAGTTTTTACTAGGGGGTTATTTTACCTTAAGGAAAAATCTGTTGGTGAGTACTTTCTCTTTATGCATTTCTTAAAGTGAAAGAAAACGCATGTATTATCCAACAGTTTGCATAAACCTGTTCTTTGTGATGTTCCCATTCTGCAACTATATGTGAAATTAACGTATTTTTTAATTTTTCTCTTTCATCTCCAAACGTTTGCCATTTCAATTTTTTTAATTGTTCATCCCAAATCGGGTATAACTATTTTGCAGGTCAGCAAATTGTTCTCAGTAGACAGTGCTCCTGTAATCTTGTAGGAGGCCAGAAATTTTTGCAGGTCGGGTATGCCAAACATGAATCCCGACCAGGTAAATCATTTTCGACAAAACAAATTTCAACCCCCACCCTTTGAGTATGGAAAAATTCTACATTTCTCATTAAATTGTAAATAAACATTGCAGGTCGGCAGAAATTCTTGCAGGTCGGGTATGCCAAACATGAATCTCAACCAGGTTAATCATTTTTTGGCATACCCGACCTGCAAGAATTTCCGCCGACCTGCAAAATTTATTTCCAATTTTTTTTAAATTATGAAATTTTTTGGGTGGGGGTTGGAAAATTTTTCTGTCGAAAATAATTAACCTGGTCGAGATTCATGTTTGGCATACCCGACGTGCAAGAATTTCTGCCGACCTGCAAGGTTTATTTGCAATTTAATGAGAAATGTGGAATTTTTCCATATTCAAAGGGTGGGGGTTGACATTTTTTTTGTCGAAAATGATTAACCTGGTCGAGTTCATGTTTGGCATACCCGACCTGCAAGAATTTCCGTCGACATGCAAAATTTATTACCAATTTTTTGAGAATTGTGAAATTTTTGGGCGGGGGTTCGAAGTTTTTTCTGTCGAAAATGATTAACCTGCTCGAGATTCATGTCTGGCAGACCCGACCTGCAAAAAATTCTGTCCTCCTACAAGATATGAGAGTACTGTCTACTGAGAACAATTTGCTGACTTGCAGACCTGCAAAATAGTTATACCCTCCCAAATCAATATTTCCAGAGAATATTGGTTATCAGCCCATGTGCCACTTCATCGTCAACAGTGGTATATGAATTACCTAATTTATCAATGTTTAATCCTCATTATTGAAGTGAAATATTAAGTAAAAGTTTGGTGTGTCAATCTGCAGATGAAGTAAATTTTATATATACAGAAAAAAGGAAATGAACAATGTTAGGCGATTATGGATATCTGATTATAATTAATCAGTTGCAGTCCTAGTGGGTGGCGAGCAGAGCAACCGCCCAGACACTCGCGCAGTGACCCCTAGTAGAAAAACAGTTGATAATTGTTTGAACTTTACTTTGTTCTGAGGTATTGATTAAAACAATAAGAAATATATTTGGCTTGAATTTTAATACTAACATCAATATTCATCACCCATTGGGTGATATAGGAGCTGGCTTGTATGAAGGAAACAACACCTGTGACAGTTGACACCTGTCGCGGAATAAGTGTAGTCGCAGACAAATCGCCTGATTGGGGCGGTCAGATGCGACTACCTTTTTCAGTTAGGTAAGCAACAAATATGTTTCCTTGGAAGTCTTGTAATGCATTTCAGAGAGTCGCCCTCTCTTAGCTGCAGATTACTAACTGCATCCACCAACCAGGATATGCTCTTTTTATTCTTGTAGGTAACCTGTAACCATCCAGACTGGAATGAGCAGCTCTGGAATTATGCCTATTGATAATATTCTGGAATATCCTCAAAACTGACTGTGAATTCAAAACACGTGAAATTGAGTCTTTCAAATATTTAGGTATAATAAATGATAGGCATTTGAAATTGAATCATCAGAATTCATATAGGTATTATGAAACATTTGGGATATCTAATTGTAAATTATGAAAAATTTTGAGAAAGAATGGTTATTGGCAACTGATTAATATTTCTTCAACAAAAATTAATGGTTTATTACAAAAATAATTCATACATTATATTATACATGAATGTTTCTGTAATAATGATGTATTTTCAACGACTGTCTCTACCGGTTCAACTTTTGTTGATATATTCATGCAAATGTATACAATCAAAGAAATAGTATTGGTATATATTCATGGATAAATTTTTGTATTATTTTTTTATTAACATTCCCAATCGTAAAGTGAACCAAACATGTGTCAGCTTTAGGAGAGATGAATGAAACTTTGGAAATATAATTGTACATTCATTGTGTTCTTACTGTTGAACACTTTAATTATAGTATTACATATGAATTTACATCAGACCTTTTACTAGAGGAATCTTTGGTAGAGGTATATTAATAACCTATTCTATAGAAACACGAATCTAGGCATTTAAAAAAAAAAAAATAGAAATCCGAACTTCTAATCTTCAATAAGAAACATCAGTCGTGTCACATCAATGGATGGATTGTTGAATAAGTTATTCAAATACTTCTTCATTTACTGGTATGGGAATTAAAAACATACAGATCTTTGAAAACAACAAAATTTGGGTTGGTAGGCTGTGGTCAAATGTAATCTGAAGTACCAAACGTTTCGTCTGCTTGAACCACCAATTCACACAGTGGTTAATTGAGTGAAGTAAACTACCTACGCCAGCCCAACTGACTACCATCCCACCTGTATTCATTTCTTGAAATCAAACTTTCTAGGAAGAAACTGTCTTCTGCGCAATATTTGTGAAAACAGTTCTAACGTTCGCCCTAAATATTTTATAACATTTATATACTCCATATCTGTACATATGAGTTATTCAAGTAGATGAAATGACAATTATTTGTTTTCATCATTCAGATCACTTTATTCGAGATACAAATGAATGAGCCTAATAGTAACATCTATACAGATCTAAAATGCTGCTAGTCTTCTTTCCTCTTCAGTTATCTGGTTCACAAGAATCAAAGAGACCTTTATTCCTTATTTGATTGAAAGCTTTCTCGATATCATAGTTTCTGAAAAATAAGTATTGATTTAAGAAATGTGAATTATACCATTCTAGATAATTTATAATAGAAAAATATAAATTTCATGAACATACAAAAAAGGAATTGTTATTATTAATGAAATCACCAGTATTAGAAATATGGGCTAAATCCCTACTTCGAGACTCGATCTGACCCTGAAGTGGTCAATTGCAGAGCGAAGCTAGGCCAACATAGACCACCAAAAAACATTCTCCCTGTCTTCTACAGCAGCTTTCATTATCCAGTAACTAGTCAAAATCACAGCCCAAAAAAAAAACAAAGAATTTATTGTTTTTTCTGCATTGTTTCACCAGTTGTATGTAGAGAGTTATTGGTTGTAACAGATATTGATTAACATGAACTTTTAAGACAATACTTGCGACTTACTTGGATAATAATGAATAAATATATTTACTTGTAAAATTCTGCATAAACCCTTTTCCTTTCATCATTCACGAAGACTTTCTGGAGCACTGCGGCTGCTGTTGCTACACCAGCTGCAAGCAGAATGTTGACCTTAATCTGCGATTGAAGTAGTCCACGAAGTTGAGGTTTAGCTGCTTTACCTACTGCTCCAGACATTTTTCTAGATATAATCAAATGAATATTACATAACATGATAGTATAGAGGAAAATTTAATACTTGTTTTTGTAATAAGTAACTAAAAACTAAATTATAGGTCATTCTAGAAAATTTATATTTTCTTCTAGATTCAAATTATAGAGAACAGATAATATCTAGTTTAATTAATAATGAATTCATACAAACTTTCAAAATGGCAATGAACCGTCTCACTTCAAGATGAGTTTACAATTTACAAGTGACAACGACAACCGGTGTCAAAGATTAGCCAGTGTTGCCAGTAAGAAATTATTTTACGTACCACATAGACGAGTTCTTAAATTTACCGATAGCTCACCGATTGATCTATTGGTCATTTCGAACGCGTTTCTATTGGTTGAAGCTATCACAAGAAAATTTCTGTTGAATTTAAAAAGTCACCTCATTATTTGATCAAAATGTAACGAGTTTAAAAAAGCGTAATGTCCTCATATACCTATTTGATGACTGTGAGAAAACACATGGTCTCAGTGGAGGAGTAATCGAAGACTACATATATGTAGTTAAAAAAATCTGCATGGAACAGAATTGCCTCCAGTTAAACAACTGTTTTTACAGACAGCATGAAGGTACGGCAATGGGAAACTCACTGTCCCCCTTCATAGCTTATCTGTTCATGGAGCAGATTTGAATTTGAAGCAAAATATGAGTTAGATTACTTTCCACGGACTTGCAGACGATGTATTTGCAATTTTTCATACAAAGGAATCAAAGGTATAGAACTTTGTTTCAACTTTCAACAACGGATCCCCAAATATCAAGTTCACAACTGAAATTGAAAACAAGGAGGAGTTACCATTCTTAGATGTCTTAGTTATAAGAAATAGCTAAAATAACACCAGCACTTTTAGATATATTCCTGATAGCTCATCAAATTGTCCACGAGAGGCTTCTGTTACGTTCCTCTCGAGGAAATAAAGGTACAATTTTGAGGAAAATGTTATCAAGGCCATAGCTGAAAGCATTTGGAATTCTTCAAATTCTTTGGTAAGTTAATTATGAAACGTAAGTTCGAAAAGAATCTTCGTAAATCTTCGACCTTTCAAAAAGATGTAGATTCAAAGTTCATTGTCCTTCCGTATGAACCAAGATACACTAATGGATTAGATCGTATTTTCAAAAAATTTAAAGTTGAAGTAGCTTGCAAAAACTCACTTCAACAAATGTTATGCTGGAATGAATGGAAAATTGTTAAGATTGGTACATGACACCAGATTTTTGGATGCTTTCGAAAGTCTGGAAATAGCAAATAGTATGAGAACTATAAATAGATCCCATTCCAAACGACCCATTGTTCACATTTCTATGAATCCCTTGGATGAAATAAGCGGGAACTTTCACAAGAAAATTTATTGCAAATTTCTGACTAAAATCATAGATGTGCATTTGAAAGTGAAATTGAATGTTTACCATGTTAGATATAGAAACAGAGTGTTTTAGAGTTAACTCCCAATTGGGAATTAGTTTTCTTTATCTAATGAAGACGCCAACTTGGTCGGTGGAACGCGCGTCTAGACGAGAATTTCAGTTTTGGTATTGGAAAAAGTGCTCGTTTTGAACTCTATAGGTTACTTATCGAACAGATGGAACATAAACAAATGATTGCAGTCGATCTCGATTGGTGTTTGGTTTGGTAACATCAGCAGTTAACGTGAAATTAACAGCAATTTGCTGTTATGTTTCTGAGTACAGTTGGTGGAATAAAAATAGTTATTGAAAGAAACAACCGAACTGATGATACAAACAACCATTCGAGAAAGGCTTATATTGTCTGAAGACTAGGGGAAGGTAGGGTTAAGTGAATACACTGGGCAACGCGAATACTCCTCACTACTCCTTAATTATTCGTGCGTGGTTTAAGATGCCACTACTGTAACAGAGATGTCTAAAAACCCTGGTGCATCTACTCATACCTGCAACCCTGAAGAGGCACGAGCCTATAGCAGGGTCTTAACAAATACTCAAACAAATTGTAAACTACTAACCAAAATAAGTGAATAAACGTGAGTGAGTGAGTACTCATACCTGCAAAAGTTTGGGGTAAAATGAGGGATTTATGGCTAACTTGATTAGCAGAGGTCAACGCCGTTTACGCCGTTTCAGATGGCGCAAGCAGTCATTACAGAAAACTGTAATCATAAGACCACACAGGGTGTATTTGTATTTATATTTAATTCCACATTCATTTTTCATACTTACTGTGCTTTTAGGATAACTTAAAAAGTGAGTTAATGAATTTTTTTTGTTTTAAGTGTTATTGATGAATTGTCAGTATTAAATCGAAAGATAAATGTCCAAGTTCTGGTGAATTATTAGTTGAAGTTTCAACCCAAGCAAAGTTTTGAAGAAATTTCGTGTAATTTCTTGATATTTCAACTCAAGAAATGTTGGCAGATGTTATTATGTAGTTGACATTGGTTGTTTATCGGAACGAATTCCGCAAAACAGGTGGTAAGTATAAAGATTATATACTTGAATATATGTTTTTAGTATGGTATTGGAATGGAAAAACAACTGAATAATTCACTAGATTACAAAGAAATATTCCCAGTGAATTCTTTGTCGAACTTTTCGATTACCTGTTAAGAGATCCTTTTGATAAGCACCAACTTTTAACTGATTTTTTTTTATTAATAATAAAAAAGTTTTCTCTTTGATGCGTAAAATTTGGAATAAGCGGTTTATATACGAAGAACAATGTAATGAGTAGAAACACAGCTGTTTTCTAATAGATATTCAACCAAAATACATCTACTCATAGTGACTATGGATGTATGTATGTGTATCACACCTAGCAGTTCTACTCATGAATCAGGACATTGATTTTCTTATACATACATATCTCGTTACATACACAAAATCATTCAAGAGAAATAGCACTACAGTACCACCTTCACCAGTAACTCCTCATGCAAGCCTTTGGGTTCTGTAAATAACTTGAGAGAAATTACAAGGCAAAATTTATTAATTTACAATGGATGTTAGATGGTCAATTATCTTCCATTGAATCTGTCTTTTTAAATCTGTTTTTCCGTTAATCAGCTGTCATCAGATGTATTGGTTGGTACATATGTATTGGTTCAGAAAGAATGTGAACTATTTATTGTCTGTTGAAGTATATTGAAGTTAATAATATTTCTGTAATTATGGTTATTGAAATTTACAATTCCAGCATAAATTGAACAAAGTTCAATTCAAATATCTCCCATTATTATTTCAATTTGATTTCATTGAGTCATATTTTTTGCTATGATTTCATGTGCAGGCCATCACTGATAGACTAATTTGACATTTGACCCCCATATGCCAATTAAATTTTTGAAAAAAGTTGAAGTGCCTCCCCCAGCCATCTGTCGAGCAATCACAATGTGTTTTTTTTGCAAAAATAGTATCGGTAATAGCCCTCAAACGTTTTTTTCATGTTTCTACGTCAAACCGTTCAAAAGTTAAGTTAGTTTTTTATCGATCTGAAGTGAAATGGTATTTAATGTCCTTACCAGTGGTACATTAATTTTTAGTTTCCTTTAGATGGGATTTCTTTCATATTCATGTTCCCACGAAAAGTAAAATACCGTAATGTTCAGAGAACACCATGGTTGAATTTCTGCAGACTGCAAGCCTAAAGGAAACCTTCTGAAGCAGTGAATTCCAAAGCTTTGCCGTTTATTGTTAGAACGTGACCTTGGAAAGAGATGTGATGAAAATAGTTTATTTTCTTTCAAAATACAAATACAAAATGTCGTCTAATATACTTTAATTGCTTACTACAACCTTTTACATTGAGTGTGTAAAATAGTTCTTTTTTTCAAACGATGTGACCATCAATTATACCTGTAGTTTTTTGAAAATATTCAGTTAAATTTCAAAAACACATACAGCTGATGAGAGTATCACATCTCAACAGATATTTTCAGATTTTTCGAAATTTAACTTACAGAAAAATTGTATTTAAAAAAAAATATTTTCGAGGGCTCTTACGCTAGTTGCACACACACCGATTTTGGACGACCAGTATAAAATCGGCCGATATTTTATTGGTAGCGGGTGCTTGCACACTCACCGGATTTTTATCGGTCAAACAATCAGTTGCTTTGTTGTCGTAATTAGCACGCACTACCAAAACGACGTTAATGCGTAGTAACTACAATTTCACCGAGCATTCGAGACTGGAATGGTCGGTAAAAAAACCGGTGAGTATGCAAGAGTGTATTTAGTCATGTACGCCACTACTTCCCGGTATTGCCGGCGATACAGTGGCAGTGGACGGCTGCTCAACGGTATTTTACCATCGACGATCACCGGTAGGCATGTGTGCAAGGTCCCGTTCCCACATGTGGTTCACTATTGGAATTTGGACGACCGGTACAAAGTCGGCCGTCCAAAATCGGTGTGTGTGTGTGCAACTAGTGTTACATTATGCTCTTTAGCACAGCAGATATTCAATCTAGAGATCAAATATGCCCTCAGTTCCTCTTATATCAAATTTTCCTTGTGGTGTTCACAACCTATAATATTTTTGGAAGAAAAATTTGGCAATTTGCTTAAAATTACTGAAAGGCAATTTCTTTTAATTTCGCTCTCAAAAACAACTGATATTGTGGCTTCAACATCGTGAAGAAAGCTATTAATTTTTTGTGATGGAAATGTTAAAAATCCCCTGCTCTTATTTCTTATGAGGAAATTGAATATTTCATTTCCCTTCTCCAATATCGAATCCACACATTTTCCACATTTGGTGTTGCCTTTAATTTTTTTTGCAACATATCCACAGAAATAAGCAAAAGCTTCATCAATACCTGAGAAGTCCTCTTCAATTTCGGAGATATTTTCTTCTAATTCAATATAGAATTTAAATGTTTGCTTTTTTCTTCCATATCTCCAATATGAAGAAGGGATTTCATCATTTCTCCTCCACTAACATTACTTTCCCTGGGCGACATCAGGCGGAATATTTGTCCAACTTGAATTGACTCGGGATGAGTATTGCATCCACCTGCAGCTCTCATCATCCCAAAAATGCTGAAAATGATATCAACAAAGTTGATTGGAATTGTTATGGATATGTGAACATTATCACCTCCAAATGATCTTGGTTTAATCTGGATGTCATCAAATATTTGAAACCAAGATGGGATTAGGAATATTCTCTAGTTGAATACTGCTAGAATTTAATAATGGATGTTTTGGAACAGAGTCTAGTGAATCGGATAGAATACTACAGGATGGACCAGGAAAAACGTTTAGTGAAAGTTCAGGAGCAGTTTTACTGAGAGATTAAAAAATTTCAAAATACGTATTTTTATTATAAAAATTACTGTCACAATAGAACTTGTCTAAAATCTAAATTTTTCATGATGATCTTCTACCACTTAGTAACGGCTATATCCATCAATTTACTTGTCTAAAACATGTTTTACCCCTTAGATCAGGGGTCTCCAAACTTTGAAGCCTTCTGGCCATAATGATTTTATCAGTTTGTTCCAAAGGCCAATTTCTGCCCTTAACTATATTTCTAGACTGGGATAGTCGCAAAGTGCGTGACCTAAGCAAACTTACGCTTTTTTTGCATTTCAATTATTATTTACCAAAAGTTGAAAATTCTTTTTGACAATGACAGATAATAATTAATTTGACTGACTCAGCGGGGACTCGAACAGTTCAGAATAGCGCCATCTTAGGAAAACTCTCGTAAGTGTTGTTAAAAGCAACAGGTGGTTCCTTCAAAAAGTTCAAAACAAAATCTAAGCGTTACCAACACCAGGGTTTTTAGGAATCTTAATCTACTCATACCTGAGAGGCAGCACTAGTAGTACGGACAAACAATAAACTATTCACATGTAAAACAGTGTTATTTACGTACCTAATATTAATTTATTATTTAAAAATATGAAGTTGATATAAAAAATTATTTTGTGCTAGTATAATGCCAACAAAGCATTGCTGTTTTACGAATTGTACGTCGGATAATTGATATGCGGAAGAAAACGTGTTTTTATACCATTTATAAAACCTCATAATAATGAGGTTAGATGTAAGAAATGGATACATGCTTCGAAGAGAGTGGATTTAAAAGTGCAAAAAATAAATAAATATTCATATGTATGCTCTAAACATGAAATGAATAGTAAATTTTTCATAGTTAATTACCATTGATTAGAATGAGATATAACCTCAATCGTTTATTGAATTATATTCATTCATTATTTTTAATCAAATTTATTTCATTACCATCTATATTTGATTAATATTTCACTCGGAAATAAATCTAAAATTCATAATCATTTTGAATTTTTTTTATTACAGTTTGAATCTACCGCTACTCTTACTAGAGTCTGTGTACTAACCTGTTTATTAATTCACTTTTTTTTAGTTACTTTTAAATTACGGCATGCAAGCCAACGTTTTAATGTCAAGTACAACATTGTTATCCTTTACAGTTGTAAATTTCAGTTTTGCTCCAGGAACATCTTCTTCTGTTAAAAACATTATTTTTTAATTGTACATTACATATGTTCATATGAGGATTAGGCAGTGTTTGTCCCTACCGAACTACTAGCGCTGCTAGTGAGTGATTTTTCGTGCTTCAGGAAAACGCTTCATTCCACATTAATTTTTCATAGTGATTTTAGGATAACTTAACCTGTAACCGCTACCCTCGGGTCCTGTGGACCCATGGACATGTTGATTCTTGTCAAAAAGTACTATACCCGAGAATACCTACCACAGAGAAGCGACATTAACGTCGGATCCTTTGATGTTCGGTGTCCCAACTCCGAACCGAAGATTTTGAGTGATAGACAACGTGGTTCACTGAGAAAAATGACCTCTCAGCGATATACACTAATAAAAATACATACTCTTACGTTCTAGTATAGTACGTGAGCTCACTGTGAAATATAAAATTATAGTGTGAAGGGCATCTTACTCCATTCAATTTTAATATTGCTAATTGAACAACTTTCGCAGTAATAATAGAGAATATTCAACTATGTGGTCAATTTATTTATTTTTTTGTGCTTTTGGACATTTTTTAAACTGGTGTAACGAGTAGACGCCATATAAGACTCTGTTATTTTCTTCCGTTTTGAGGTTTGTTGTTTTTTGCCATTGTGGAACTTTTTTGTTTTTTGAACATTTTTAAATTAAATTAAGGTAAAAACTGGAAATATTCACATTTTTGTAAGTAATAGCAATAATTGTCTAACCATTAAATAACCTTGTAATTTTTAGTTAAAATGGCTGGTCGTATTTGTGCAGTGTCAACTTGCAAAAGCAATCAATTGACTTTAAAGAAAAGTGGTGTTACTGATGTAATATTTCACTCTTTTCCTATTGCTAAGGATATGGTTTCCACAACTTTGCAAAAAGAATGGATTCGCCGCTGCAAAAGAGGGGATAAATTCACTCTCAAAAATGGATTTGTTTGTTCCAAACATTTTACAGAAAATGATTATGAACGAGACCTTGAAAATGAATTGTTAGGTAAAAACTTATTCTATTAATTTACTGCTTAAAATAAATATGTTTTTTTTATAGGTTTGCCTTTGTTTCGTAAATTGAAAAAACTGCAGTACCTAGTGTTAACCTAAATTATCCAACAATTGATAAAGAGAGGGTAGTTTTACAGAATACAAGTCGCAATATTAGAGCCTTACAGAAAAAAACACAATGAAACTATCAGTATGTTACTTGAATCAAATTTGGATAATTTTAAGCCATCCACTCTCAAAGTTACTCTTCTCATAATATTGTATCTCCTCAACCTCAAGCTGTTCAACAAAATATACAAGGATAACAAGAACTTGGCCCCTCTGTTGACACGGTGGATATTGATTATAAAGCAAAATATGAGCTCCTGCTTAGAGAGCACCGTAATTTAAAATTTCACTGTAGAAAGAAAACGAATAATTTGAAATATCTTACCAATTATTACAAAAATAAGTACTACAAAGCCAAGTACCAAAACAAATATTGCTGAGAACATCTTAAAATCTAGTCTTACTAAAAATCAGATTGATTTGCTTTCAAATAAAAAGAAGAGTGTTCACTGGACGCAAGATGAGATAGCTACAGCATTTACTATAAGATATTATAGCAAAAAATGTTATTTGTATTTTAGATATAGTTTAAACTATCCTTTACCAGCACTCAAATGTTTTGTATCCAAACATGTTTTAATAATGATGAAATTAGCTGGAGACGATTTCACTGGCTTTGAGAAAACAGTTGTTCTTCAATTTGATGAAATAAAAGTTGAATCTGTTCAAGAATATTACGTAACAATTGATGAAATTATGGGACCCCACAGTTACATGCAAGTTGTACTAGCTCGTGGGCTCTTTTCTAAGTGGAAGCAGCCAGTCTATATTGCATTTGACCAAAAAATGACAAGGGAAATATTGCTAAGTATTATTTCTGAATTGCACAAAATCAATTATAATGTGGTGGCATGTGTAAGTGACTGTGGAGGTGGAAATATTGGATTATGGAAAGAATTGGGGGTTCCACGGAATATTAATCGAAAATGATTTGAATAATGAGGTGATGACATATCAGTGAGATTAAAAAAAAATTATCATAATAAAACCTTCTTCATCCTGGCACTGATAAAAATGTTTATATGTTTGCTGATGCTCCACATCTTTTAAAGCTTATTCGTAATTGGTTACTTGACACAGGTTTCATTTTGTATGGAAGTATACAAATTACCAAAGAGCCCCTTCAGGCACTTATTGGTTTAACAAATGTCGAAGTTGATCCCTGCTGGAAAATCAATCAATCTCATCTTGATTGTGAGAAAAGTCAAAGGCAGAATGTGAAAATGGCTGCTAAACTTTTATCACATACTGTAGCAAAAGCACTTTTACGGTACAAGCCATCTCAAAACATTAAAGAAAATGAGGATTTGGCAGAATTTATTGAATATATTAATAATTGGTTTGATATTTTCAATAGTTATGTCAAAACTGGAACTGTTCCATTCAAAAGTGCTTATGGCACACATTTACATATGCAAGAAGACCACCTAACAAAAATTATTGATCAAATATTTTCAATGCGACCAATTGGTAAAACTAGATTGCAAATTGTTCAAAACGGCATGATAATGTCTATAAATTCTTTGAAATTGCTTTTTAAGGATATGAAAGATTTGTTTAATATTGATTATATATGCACCCATAAACTAAACCAAGATGGACTTGAAAATCTTTTTTCTCAAATTAAAAGCCTTGGTCCAAATGAACATCCTAGTCCATTGGAAGCAATTTACCGAATCAGAATGATCATTCTGGGAAAAAATTCTACCATCCTCCAGGCTGCAGTAAATACTGAAGAACCGACAATAGAAGAATATATTACTCTAAAAGTCATGAAAAAAGGTGTAAATTGAAATTAACGCAGACACGATTTTAGAGCAGACAATAGGATCAAATTGCAGTAGCTCATTTTCATCTAGTACTTCTGATATTTCTACTAACATTCCTTCAACTTCAAATACAAATATTCCAGAAATAACAGAGGACTCTTTAGAATATATTGCTGGATACTTTGCTAAAAAGCATAAAAATGATCTACCTGGTTTGGGCGATTATACTTATAAATAAAAGCAGATCATAATTATAATATTAAACCCACAGATAATTGGTTAGAAAAAATTAAAAAGTGGAACAAGCTTTTCGAAAAACATCATTTAAATGGATTTAGAAAAGTGCCAGGAGTTGTAAAAACTCTTTCAAAAAAAATTGCAAAAAGGGAAGATTTTCCTCTAAATATTATTTTTGAATTTTGCAAACTGAGATAAATTATCAGAATGAAATATAATGTCGCAACTCAGTTCTCGCTTGGCTATTAACGAGAGGATTTTTATTTGCTGTTTCACCCGCTCATTTATTCATCCCAAATAATGAAAGAACTCATTTAAAACTTAATAAAATATTTATTGTGAAAGAAACGGAAAAATACTTTAAATAAACTCGCACTCAATGTTAATAAAAAAAATACATTTAAGGGATTTATTTACATGAGATTTGTTTATTTTAATTTAAAAGTGGATTACCGAATCAATCCCAGTCACCACTGTTACGTCACGAGATCACGTGACGTATCCAACAAAATCGCAAAAGAAAGCAATCCTGTATGTCCATTATCGTTGGGTATTCTCGGACTATACAGTAATCGCTCGTATCCTCTTGAGTATTCCTCAAAATAGTTGCAATCGAACGGCCGTCGAGTGCGCATTAATTTTTAAATCCATTTTAACGAATTTGAACTAATTTTGGGTCCACGGGACCCGTGGGTACTTTTAACGTTATATTTTCTGTGTGATTTCATAAAAGGTAAAAAACAATTTTGATTTGTTATTATTATTTTCAACTAACAGAAACTAACTGTTCTTAGATCGGATGAAGAGTTGATGAAAATAGTAGATAATGATGAATTTTGGAACGATATTCAAAACAAAGATGATGTTTTGAATAATAAAGGAGATCGGTTGCGTGCTATTGAAGATGTACTTCATTATGGAAATGCAAGTGATGTTGAAGAAATGGATTTTGAGGAAATAAGCGATCACGATACAGACAGTGAAATTTATTAGTGGCAATTTTATGATCAAGACTATGACTCCGATGATAGTGAGTTAGGACAAATTAGACATCGAATTTCCAATCGAAAAGTTAATTGCAAATTACGAGATACAGCCTCCGATATCTTCAATATTGATCCAGAACGCCCTGTTGAGCTACCTGCTGAAGTTTCCAGGTCAAAAAAAAAAGATGTTCTGTATGTCCATCGAAAAACGACCGTAAAACCAACCATAGTTGCGACATAGCCAAGAAAACCTATATGTTTGCAATGTGCAAAAACAATTTGTCCAAATTGTTTGTGATTTTTTTTTATACTTGATATGGGTTAACATTATATCATAGAATACTTGTTTTCATTTTGAAATAAATTTTTGCAGAATAGTTCGTTTTTCTGCTTATTTTTGTAACGGGTCTCAGGGACTCTGTTGTAGTGGTTAAGTAACATATTTATGTGGGTAGTAGTTACGGGTTAAGAAGTGACTTAATGCATTTTTTGTGTTTTGAGTGTTACTGACGAATTGTCAGTGTTAAATCGAAAGATTTGAAGTTTCAACCCAAGAAATGTTGGCAGATGTTATTATGTACTTGAAACTGGTTATTTATCAGAACGAATTCCGCAAAACAGGTGGTAAGTATAAAGATTATATACTTGAATACAAGCTTTTGGTATGGTATTGGAATGGAAAAACTTTTTTATTCAGCCACAGAGGTCTCAAGTTTTCAGAAAAATTTCGTTTTATTTTGGACAGAAGCTAATCATGATTTTTGTAAACATATAGGTAATTACTTATTTGTGTGATAGCAATATTTCATTTATATCACAACACATAAAACTACAATATTTCCTTCAAGAATCTGATGAAGATTCCTTACGTTTTTTATTTTATTCCCATCATATTCTTATTGCATCAAGAAAAGTGAATCAACAGCGTGCAAGAAACAGTAAGAATTTTTGATTTTCCACTTATTGATACTGGAAATCAGTTTCATTACCAATATACAAACAATAAGTACCTACTCATTTGAAATTCAGCTGAATATGTCTATAATCTTTAATTTTCATACAAATTACATACATATAATACAAGTCAAATCATTGTGAAGGTGAGAAATAATAATAACTTCCTCATTTTCCCAAAATTTATTTGCAAACTTCACAAAAAAATCAATTATATAGGTATGATAGGAAGAAAATTTCAGCAATAAAACATGAGATAATGAATGTGTAACTGTGTTATATATAAATGCAGTGTGTCACAAGAAGTATGCAACAAATTAAAACCTATTTTACTTAAAGTTAAGAGATTCCAAGCCACGTTAGTTCACGACATTTCGATCGATAGGATCTACAATCGACTTCGGGTGATGACAATATTATTTGAAATTTATTTCACAAATGACGTTTTTGTTTTCTGTTTTCTGTTTTTGTTTTCTGTTGTTAATCCCTCATTTTTGTTCGTTTTCGTACCTATGCTGTCTGTTATATATCTTTTTTTTTACACAAATAAAGTAATGTTTGATAAGCCCCATTTCATATTTTAGTTTATTTTCCAACATATGGAAACTAAAAGAATTATTTCAAATACGAATTTTTTTTATTCCTTTCTCAACGAAAACAACTTTTTAATAAGTTCATAGTTTGGGAAATAGATCTCCGGTGACGCATTTCAGGGAGATGTCCTCCCATCGGTGAAGAGTACTGACTACACCCACTAGCCAGGAGACAACTTCCTTACCATTTCAGGTAATTTATAGCCAACCAGGACAGACTGTGCAGCTTTTGAATCGTAACGGCAGCAATAATGGATAGATTCCAGTTGTTTTGTCGATATTGAGATTTTCAAGGTGCAACATTCCCACCTTATGAGGGCATCTGTAAGTCAGCTATATTATCATGATACATTCGATTCAGGCATTCAGGGCTTTTTTTGCTTCTGGTTTGGATGAATCATCTTTTGAGTTTAAGCAAGTTTGCATTCTGATACAGATTCTACTTCTGCTGCTCAAAAATTTGGTGCAAGGCAAATTGTTTCCCTTTTTCTAATCGAAAGTTGAGGAACTGAGAAGCTCTAGCTGTTGACCCAATGTTATAGGGAGTGTTGTTGGGGTCTTTCATCTGATGCCTATCTCTTCTCACGCCAGAGCCGAGCATTACCATGACTAGGCTTTCTGCAATAAGAGGGTGCTAGGTATCTAGAATGTTTGGTTAGTGAATATACACACAAATATACACACCTCAAAATAAGACCGTCATTTAGAAGGATTCTGAGTCTTCCGTTGCGGGGCAATATTCTATGAACAACTTTTATTTTGCTAGTTAAATAGTCTAGTGATTCAAATAACTTTTATTTAGTAATGTTTGTTGGG